AGTCGCGGTTGTGATTATAATAATATATAATAATAATATAAGCCTTTATTCAGACAAAGTATTTACATTAAAATAGTTTATAATTGTGACTCTGGTGAGTCGTTGACAACGACAACTTCGTCTGTTTGCCCAGTTTGGCACTTCCACTCTGCTCGGTTTAGCGCTGTTCTAGTCCATGTTTTTCCTGCTATTTTCCTTATATCGTCTTCCCATCTTCTGAACTGTCTGCCTCGTTTTCTTTTTCTATTTCTAGGGTACCAAAACACTATGCTTTTGTTCCATTTTTCGGAGCCTCTTATCGTATGCCCTGTCCATTGCCACTTAAGTTTTCGAATTCTGGTCGGTATGTTTTCTATTTTTATGCGATTTCTGATAGTTTGGTTACGTATTTTGTCAGATTTTCGTATATTCAGCATGCTTCGTTCCATTGCTGACTGGCAAGTTTCTAATTATTTGTTTTGCGTTTTGGTGAGAGCCAGGTTTGGCACCCATATGTTAGAACTGGTAGGACGCAGGTGTTGTAGAGCTTTGATTTAACAGACATCTTAATTTCTTTGTTTTTCATAATTTCTTTTAGTCGCCAGTAACAATTCCATGCTTTTCCGATTCTTCTGTCTATTTCCTTCGTCATTATTTTGGTGTTTGAAATTTGTTGGCCTAGATAGGTGTATTCTGTCACATATTCGATCAGTTCTCCATTTATGATAATCGGGTTCTCCAGTGCATTCGTCAGTGCTTTGGTTTTGGATGTATTCATTGTCAGACTTACCACGCTGCTTTCTTTTTCCAGGTCTATGAGCATTTTTTGTATATGGTCTTTTGTTTTAGCGAATAACACAATGTCATCAGCAAATCGTAAGTGGGACAGTTTTTCTCCGTTTATGTTTATGCCGTACTGATTCCAATTTAGTTTTCGAAAAATGCCCTCTAAAACCAGCTGTTGAATAGCCTGCCCTAAACCCAGCTTGTTCCCGAGGTTGGTTGTCGTCTAAAGTTTAGTTATACGACTTAAAATTACTTTTAAAATTTTTTTATAAATGTTAGACATTAGACTAATGGGTATGTAGTTATTTATTTCTGACTTTTCCCCCTTTTTGTGTAGGAGAATAATTGTTGATGTAGTCCACTGCGTTGGTATTGTTTCTGTGTCTATAATATCGTTGAAAACATATTTTAGTAGCGGTGCAATCCAATTTCTACAGCCTAAAAGCAGTTCGTTCGTGATACCATCGGGACCCGGGGCTTTGTCGTTCTTCTGTGTAATTATTGCTTTGTGTATTTCTTCTACTAGTATGGGTGGTACCTTGTCGTAGTTGTTTAGGTCTGTATTTATTATTTGGCTCTTGTTGGAGTATAGGTTTTTGTAGAAATTTGTGGCTATTGATAGGATTTCTGTTCTTTTGATTTTTGTTTTACAGTGTTGGTCTTTAATGTTAGGTATCCAGTTGGTTTTACCCGTTAGGACTTTAAGAGCCTTCTTTATACCGCCAGTCCTTTTAATATGTTTTTCCAGAGTGTTAAGTCTCGAATGTTCTCTATCTTTTCTAATTTGTAGCTTTATTTCTTTGCTCAGTTTGCCAATTTGTTCTCTAATAGTTTTTGTTTTGCTTGTTGTGCGCATTAGTTGTGATCTCTTTTGTAGGAGATCGTGGGTTTTTTTTTTTCAGATATGTGGCTTTTATTCTTTGATTCGCTTTGGTTGGTATTAGGTTTTGCTGTTAACATTTCGTTTATTATATTGTTTTTCTCTTGAGTGATTATAATCAGTAATAATGAACAGAATAAATCAACGTTTACTCTGGGAAAAGCAAAACGAAATAATTTAATATTTTTACACAAACATGGCTAATTTAACAGTAATAGAATTTACATTGCGACCAAAATGCATAGAATAACACAAATCAACGTCATCTAGTGCATTAGGGAATTAATTATAATGTAGTTGTTATTGTCAACAAGCTGTATTCACGGTTCAGCCCGACCCGAACTAAAGGACTAGACTACCTACCATCACGAACGCTACCACCCAATGAAAACACTGACTTCTATAGACACACAGCTACTTCAAGAGATTGATTAGTTTTTTTTTTGTATATTACTTCATATAATTGCATCGCATGTATATTTAAAATTTAATTTAATAGCATTACATCATGGGTAGCCCACGAAATAATCAGACTGTTAAGGCTACGCTTTTATCATTGGATCTTTCGAATGAATGCTGACTTGATCGATTTATTCTTAGTACATAAATATCAGTAAAATAAATATTATATAATTCAATTTTGCAAAGGATATTAAAATTGCTATTGCTAAAATGACAGGCGGTAGATCTCCTGACCATGACGGACTCAGTGTTGAACATCTGAGATATGCTGGCCGGCACCTGCCTCGGGTGCTTGCCATGTTATTTAATTTGTGTATAAGTCATGCATACCTTCCTCATGAGTTGATGCGGACTTCGGGGGTGCCCATACCTAAGAACAGGACAGGAGATATGGCAGACAAGATAAACTACAGGCCAATTTCCTTGGCGACCATTGTTGCCAAGGTCCTTGACAGTGTGCTCAACTCACATTTCACTAAACATATACAGCTACATGACACCCAGTTCAGATTCCGGCCTGGGTTGTCAACAGAAACAGTCATTTTTAGTTTGAAACACACTGTTAAGTACTACACAGACAGGCGTACTCCTGTGTACGCCTGTTTTCTAGATCTTAGTAGCCTTCGATTTAGTTTCTTATGATGTTCTGTGGCAGAAGCTGGCAGGGACTGGGGTGCCGCCGGAGTTAGCGTCGCTTCTGAGGTATTGGTATCTCAATCAGAAAAATAATGTGAAGTGGGCGGATGAACTTTCGGATGCGAGCGGGTTGGAGTGTGGGGTGAGGCAGGGCGGTTTGAGCCCACCCTTGCTCTTCAACCTGTACGTAAATGCTCTGGTTGAGAAGCTCAGTGGCATGCATGTCGGCTGTTATGTTGATGGTGTCTGCTGTAACAACTTCAGCTATGCAGACGACATGGTGCTGCTGGCTCCGTCGATTGGGGCTCTCCGGAAGTTACTTGCAGTTTGTAAGTCTTTTGTGGCCTCACACGGACTTGCTTACAATGTAAAAAATCTGTTTACATGGTTTTTAAATCGGATCACAAGAATCCGCCTACTCAGTCGATTGTCTTGAACGGTGTCTCCTTAAATAGAGTAACTCAATTTAAATATCTCGGGCATTGGGTTACCGATGATTTAAAAGATGATGTTGACATGGAGAGGGAATGCAGAGCATTGTCAGTTCGGGCGAATATGTTGGCACGCAGATTATCTCGTTGTACAGACGCAGTTAAAATAACATTGTTCAAGGCGTATTGCACCTCACTGTACACGGGAAGTCTGTGGGTTAACTACACCCAGAGAGCGTACAATGCTCTGCGGATCCAGTATAATAATGCGTTCAGGGCACTGTTGCGACTTCCACGTTTCTGTAGTGCGTCAGCAATGTTTGCTGATGCTCACACCGATGGATTCGCTGCTTTATGGCGCAAAAAGACTGCATCGCTCATCAGTCGCCTGCGTGGAAGTTGCCACGGTATTCTGACTGCCATAGCCAGTAGACATGACTGTCCATTGATGTGGAAATTAGTGCAGCGGACTAAGTCCCTGTTTACTATTACTTATTAATATTGTACCTAAATAGTTATATAGTTATGTATGATTGTGTTCTTCTCTTACTATTTTGATGAATTTGATGGATCTCAGTTATCTGAATAAATAAATATTATTATTATAATTCTCTAATTCATGAAACTCTTTGTCAAATGTTTATCTTAATCAGCATAGCCGCACAGCAAAGCGTAGCATCAGTTATAAGTTACACCTTCAAAAAACTTATTTAATCAAAATGGCCCAAAAACAGTCCATTCTATGATGATTTCATTTAAATAACGCTAGCGTTATAGCAAACTACATTTGCTAGCTTACTGCTATCTAAATAAAGTAGTATTTCTTTTGTATTGAGACTGTTACAGGATACACATCGCTTAAAATGATGCAGTTATTAAAATCATCCGTCTTTCAATATTGCGCCGTTAAACCCGTAAACCAGGCGCCTATTTTTATAACTTATTTCCTCCCTGTTGATAAATTGTAAAATGTTCAGAGAGTTGTATTATGAAGCGTTATGCACTTTAGCTGCGGTATGTACGGAGGGTTGAGCACGGAACGCCCACCCACTTTACGAGCTGCAGCGGACGTTCATTACCCCTTATAAATACCGACTCTCTGAAGCATTCTACAAATTATCGATGGGAAAGAAATTGGTCGAAAAAACCTGTGGCTGGCTTACGGGCTATAATTTGCGTGTACGTATAAGCCATTGTTTATAATTCTGTAGACAAAAATAGCAAGGAAAACATTGTCAAATCTAACAAAAAATAAAATGTTTGTAAGAATCTTACGATTACAACAAAAACAAAAATCAAATTCTAACAAATAAATCCACAGGAGGAGTGGATAAATGTGATGTCCCTAGGAATAATCTAACTTTTCATAACGTCTCATTCACATTGTCCTAAAGAAACAAATTGTTTTTGATAATTTCATGTGAGAAGAGTATGCCATTCGATTTGGCGTAGGACATCCATTATATGGGGGATACTATACACTTAATAGGTTTTTCCTGTACAGCATGAATTTCACGCAATGGCAGTCACGAATTTGTCTTAGCCCTTATTGCTACAATATTATTTTTATATTTAGCTCAATATTGCTATAATATTATTATTATATTTAGCTTAGCTCTTTATTGCCATAATCGTAATGACTGCAAACCGTTCCGTTGTAGGAAAGCGATTTCTTAAAAGTCATTCTGTACAGGCAAAACGTAAACATGTTTGTTATTCCTACCGTTCAAGTGTTGAAGATTGAAACTTTGTAAAAAAGAATTTGTAATTCATGTCGCCTTATATTAAATGTTTCTGCCGGGAGCGTCAGCAGGGCTTACTCGGCATTAGTCGGCGCTCTTGAACTCCGTGTCGATCCTGCGCTCAAGAGCTTGCAGACCAGCCTCTAATTCTTGCTGTAACAGAAATGAATACACATTTTAATTATAAGAATTCAATGAAGCTCATTGAAAGTGTATGCACAAGATGTCGCTGCATAAGCTACTCAATCACATGATTTCCAATTTCATTGTTCACATTATAGTACTCTACTGGGATCTACCGTATTTTCGGACACCAAATGGCAAATATAGCAAGGAAAGGTTTTATGTCCAATCACTGCAGCTGTCAAATATTGAACGCCCAAAAGTGTGACATTAGCTAACTCTCTATTGGACGAAAATCGAGAAGTACACTAGCACCCTCTGGTGAACAGAAATACAGTTTGAAGGACAGTTTAGCGCGACATTATTCACAGAAGTATGTATAGCTTTTTGTCCGTTAATGTAAAAGTAAGAAAATGATTTGTAAACACATCTTGAATATGGATGTCTCACGTTCAAATCGTGTTTTGTTCTATAAATTGTATGATAAAAGTGTTAGATTATATTATAAATAGAATATTTTGACTAATTATGGAGTACCAGATTGACCACGTATTAAATACGCGCTGCCCTTCGGTGCTTGCAGACTTCTTTAGTAAATACAAGGAATTTCTAACTGAACTAGTTAAAAATGACTGTTACACCTAAATTCATACAAAATCCCTGTCGGAGATGATAAATACACCAAAAATATCTCAAATTAATTATTAAATTATTAATTTTGAGTAAAATATTAATGCTCTGTAAATAGTTGATAGATGCTGATGATATTACACAACTGAATATACGAGTAGGATACCAAACCAAGGAGATATTTGAAAATTACGAACAGAAGCACATCATACTGAGCTAGTAAATGTAGTACTAGTAGCTAGTAATATGTACTACACTTTTTAAACTGTTCTAGTAGTCTTTCAAAGAAACTTTAGATACTTAGTGAGGTTTCATGTGCAGTCGTTGGTAGAAGATTCGTCCTCGAAAACGAATCGATTAAATATTAGATGAATTTTCGTGAATATCGAGATCCCATATCCCATTAAATTTGACAAAGCATGACTGATTAGCGGAAGCGTGGAAGGAGAGTGGCGTTATGAGTTTTAGTATGAAAAACTTCATATCGATGGTATAATGTACACACCGCATTCGACTACCCCAATCTATAAAAGGTTTCAACTTAATTGCTTTGAAATAGAATCGATAATCCCTTAAATATATTTATTGGAGAATCTCTGTGCCATATTTACACGGTGTGAAGGTTATGAAGTGTTAGTCTTTTCTCCAATGAATGATTGTTAGCTCGCTCGCTTTTTAACCAAATGAATTAAATAAAAGCTTCAAATAAAAGAGGGGCATCGAACAATGAAAGATAACTTATCCAGAGATGCGTTTATTCATCAATCAGGCTGAACTAGACACAATCACGGTTATATAATGAATGACTAGATACTTTCGATTAATATACTTACAATTTAGTTACAATAATGTCCACAAACATTGATATTATTTAACATTGTGTAGCGAAAGAAGTCTTATAGTCTTCTTCTCCCAACAAGGACCAAGCATAAAGGACAATAGTTTCAGTTTCCGTTTCGATTGTTACTTTCACACGACTGGCTAACAAGATGTGTTATGAGGGATCATGCATGTACCGTATAATACAATAATATATTAGTTTATCTACATCAAAACACACACGCATACAAGTAGTCGAAACGGAAACGTAAACTTACAGCATTTAGAAAATTGTTAAATATAATGAATATTCGTAAAACGGTGCCATGTTTACACCCTTCGTTCTGTTCTGAGTTAAATAGCTATGAATGTATATACATGTACCTAATGTTAACATCTAGAGACACACTGCAACACAAACACTACAATGTTGAAATGATATACGACAGTTCACTTGTACGTCAATGATAGCTCGCTTGCAGCATATTATGGATGAAGATGATGGCAATGATACTTAGATACAACATTGTTAGTAAGTAGTTACATGTCGTTAGTTCTCGTCTGATGTACTTACGTCATCGGACCCCGTCGCTTGATACGCTTTAGCGGCGGCACTGAGGCGATCTGCGACGGTGGACCTGTCGCGAGGTAGCCGGTTGGCGCCGACCGCCAGTCTACTGGCCGCCACTGTCTGGCTCGCTGTCGGACCGTTGCTTACTGTAGGCACGGGGGCCGGCGCGGCAAAAGGCTCTGGTGGCGCAGGGCACGGGATGGGCCCGGGGCCCGACACAGGTCCGCCCACTGCCCGGGGCCCCGCACCGTCCACTGGTGACGAGCGCCGAGACCGGACTAGTGGGAGAATCACCGACGAGCGCGCCGGAGTGTATACCTGCTGCGATGCGAACCGTTACATTCATATCCCGGTAAACTTCTTCATCGTCTTCATGTCACAAGAATATGCCCCTTTTTGAATAGTTACTTTTTTATTTCAGACGGAAACGAATCCAATAAAGTAAAGATCACCAAAACCTTACCTTATAAATGATAAAACAAGCAAGACGTACTAGTACTACGAGGTTGTTTTTAGTAATAAGCAAGACGTGATATTTACCTCAGGAGCTAATGGAGGGGCCGTTGGCAGAGCTGCCCGCATGTCTCCGAAATTGAACATCTGAAAAATATACAAGAAGGTGTAAAAATGGTTCTTGTTTTACAAAATGACTGGTTAAAAACTGCTGCGAGTTTGCCGTAGTGCGGCCGGGGCCTTATAGTGACAACTGATCGTAATTAGGACTTACCTCGCCCGGATTGGGAGCCCACACAGCGTCGGGACGAGGCCCGTAAGTGTTCGCATTCACTCGGTACTCCGGCAGTAGTTCTGCAGGCATTCCCGCTGAAATATACGTACATATTTGAACTAATAGACAAATTATGTTAACATAATAATAATACGACATTAAGTATTTGGCGCCAATTGTGAAAACGAAGGCACTACTGTGGGCTTACTCTTGAATCCAATTGCGATCGATCGACATTGGTATTGTGAAATTTCGTACTCTTGAGTTGCAACACTAGCGCCCACTGCATTTGTTTTGCGTGGATATTTAATGAACTAAATGGTATTGGCTTTGGCTTTATGTTCCGTATTCTAAATGCTACTTTAACAGCTACGATTGGGGTTGTATAGTTTTGACATTGGATAATTATTGAGATTATATTGGATTGAAATTGCATTGATATTGAGATTGGTTTCAAGAGTAAGCACCCTGGTCTATGCGTAGAAAACTATATACTATCATAAGAAATTAGCTTGGCATGAGATCAAGGTTACAATATAATCGCTGTATTGTCAGAACAACTTTGACTGGGGAACCATTCAAATTACAACTTACAAAACATATATTAACTCGTCGAGTACCGGTTTTATAGACACAATTAAAGAACAATAGGTCGCAGTCACCGGTGACCGCTTGGTGTTTGACAGTTTAAGTTAATTTTAAGATTGTTAAGTACTTACGAGTGAACAAATCATCCCTGGGGGGCTGAGGAGGTTCTGGTTGTGGGTACATGTGCACGTTGTTTTGCGGAGGTGGCTGTGGCACGAAGGTTCTGTATTGCACCGGACCGTGATGTTCCTCGGGCAAGCGCGCGTTGTACCGCGGGTAGAAACGATCCCCATTAGTGGGGATCAAAACCTCCTGGCTCAGGATTATCGGGTGCGGGGTGTAACTGTTGTAAAAAAAGTAAGTATTTTTTATTAAACATCTGTGTGCTTACTCTTAAAACTAATCAAAATGTAATTTCAATCCAATAAAGTCTCAATAATTATTCAATGTCAAAACTATACGACCCCAATAGTAGTTGTTAAAATAGAATTCAGAGTACGCAACATAAAGCTAAACTCAATACCATTTAGTTCATTCAATAGTCACGCAATAGGGATGCAATGGACGCTAATGATGCAACTCAAGAGGCAGGTATTACCCCCCCAGAACCCCAAAATAGTAAATGATCACCAAAATTAAACCAACATTTTAAAACCTAACCTAACCTAACCTGTCGCGGAGAACCGATGAGTCATTCGATGATTTTCCCACCTTAAAAAAAAACCTAACCTTTTCCGGTGTTAAGTAGATATTTTTGATTACAAAACTAAGGGTGTCAAAGCATTTTATGGTGGTCATTATATTTATCCCCATAGTAAAATTATAAATAAATTTCATCACTTACATTGCATGGTGGCCGTTGTTCACGTTGACATGCTCCATGTCGGCGGGCATGTTCACCGGCGGCATGGCTGTAAACAAAACATGGTATAGTGACACACTGCAAAGGGGCTGATAATAAATATTCAGTACAAAAACAGTACGTAATGTTATACCTAAATTTATTGTATTATGTCACTATTGGACTCAGTAGTAAAATGAACTTTTCTGAATATGATGTTCAAGAAAGAAAGCTGACTTACGTTGTACATTATAATGGCCCTCCAAATGTGGTTGGGGCATGGGGAAGGGTGGGTATTGTACACCCGGCGCCGCCATCGGCATGGTGGGCCCCGGCATCGGGATTGGCTGGTTCGGGAGCAACGGCTGGTTTGGCATCATTGGATACGGGAAATTTCCGTTAATCCTAAACCTGTGACAATATTTTACACGTAAGAAAGAAAACAAACGTCTAAAATAAAAATAAAGCAGAAAAATGTATTAATTTGCAAGTAAACTGTGTATAAAATCTAAAAATCTATCTCTGTGCCCAATGTCATTATGATTCGTTCAATAGTTTGAGCGTGAAGAAGTAACAAATATACACCTTCACAAACTGTTTTGTACATAAACACATTATTACACGTTTGATTACGTCGCAAGCATAGCCAAAATATACCTAATATAAAAAATATATATCGCTTTTGGTATATTGCACGCAAGCATGGTATGAGCGAAATACTTCGCGAGCTGAGTTTATGGTCTCATTCTCAATTAAAAACTAGAACTTGAAGCACTTTTTAAATAGATAATGTTATTACTTAGTCCTTTTTTGTTCTTAAGTTAACTTGCTTTCAAATAGAAATAAATGATGGCACACAAAAAATACGAAATATCTCGCTATGGTTCGTGACACGAACTATACCGTGACGTAGTATCGTCACGTCCAATTTACATGTATATAGCACGATTGTTTATTGCCTGTGCAAATACTTGCATAAGGATCTATGTGTTGCAAGATTGCGGAAACATAAAATCGCACGGAAAAATGTCGCTAGGCGCCCCATTCGCTGGAGTTTATTCAACGTCGCGTTAAAATTATAGTCAGAATTTTAATTAGATTCCAGATTTGACAATAGCTACTGTCATTTTGTGAAATAATGATACCACATATAATAGTTTAGTGATGCACACAAAAATCGATAAACAATCGGTTTTTAATATATTTGTGTTGTTTTAATATATAGTGTTTTATAATAAATGTTACAGAAAGTGACAGGATAGTGATAACGATGACGGCGACAATTTATAAAATAACTTATTACCATGATACATCTATCTGTTTTATTTGTCATGTTCCTTCATGATTACATTTTTTTATTTATTTCACACACAATTATAAAAGAAAAGTCTCAGATCGTTAATTAATCGTCAAAACTAAATTATCGATTCAGAAATATTTAATTTCCTGATATACTTAGTTTACAAGAGTAAAATTATAAACGAGAAGTATCGATCCACAAATATTGCATTTCCATATCGAATAATTTCGCAACGTCACTATTTAGTACTTGTCATAACGTTACAACACTGAAATTGTCAAATCTGGAATCGAATTAAAATTCCGAGTATAGGTGTTGGTGGTGTATACAATGCAATTTAGTCTTTAACGACCTTCAATTTATCGGTGAAACCGTCGCGTTATAAAACTGCTGGACGCGGGATCATAATGCTAAACAGACACATTCGCTATATTGAACGCTTTTTAACGCGCGTCAAATAACACTCGTACGAATGGGTTTTAACTGAGATTATTTAGTATATTCACCTTTCCATTTCTTCCTCAGAGTGGGCGAAAGTACAGGAGTTTCCTCGAGGGCAGAAGGAGCGTGTGGCCGCGTCCCTGCACATCGACACCTTGTACTTATTGTGTGTTGGAGTCGACGCTGCCGTCTGCGGGGAGACTTGACCTGCGAAAAATAATCACAATTATAATAATAAGGCTATAAAGTCCTTTTTTGAAAAACATAAAAATTTGAAGAGATAGTAGGAGACGTGTTCTAGTAGTTGCGTTATGCTAGTAATTTAGTCAGTTTAGTAATTTAAAGTTTGTGACAAATTGTAAGATTGTGAAGATTTGGTAGACGACAACGTTACCAGTAGTATAGTTAACAATAAATATAAGTGTTCTAAAGAGATATGTAGTTTATATTTCGTACGATGCAAATATTCATGGTTCGAAGGGAAACAAACAGCACATATAAAGTTTATATAGAAGTTATTAGGGAGGCCTATGTTTAGCAGCGGGACGTCTTGTAGCTGATATGATCACACTTACTGGCATTGTTATCCATACACCGTTCGGGTAGTGGGTGTTGTTTCTGATTATGGTTGGAGTCCCGGCCGGTGGCCTGCTGCTGCAAGTAATGTATGAGGCCGGCCACGACCTCTTTCAGTGACGTCACCACCTCAGCTAGCTGCTGCCAAGACGGGTTCTTCGCGTCTAGAATACATTTCGTCGAGATCTCGTAAATAAATAAATAATAAATTAATTAAACAAACAAACATATACAAAATCCTCGTGAAATGTATTATAAAAAGGAATCAAATTAAGAAAGGTTTATGGCGCGTAGATAAAAGTACCGTTGTGTCAAACTTTATTTATTATAACTAGATTCTCAGACTTCACTACTTTAACATAAAGTCGAAAATACTTAGAGAAGTGAACTTGCGACATTAACATCAATACCAGTACAAAAAGCGAGCAATGATAAATTGGTTTTGTATAGCTCAAAATGTATAGTAGAATATGTTGTGAATAAATTAAATACCTGGGCTAGCGTCGATGTTGGCTAGTCTATCGAGATGCAGACTCATGACAACCAGTTGCGCTGGGTCACCTGTTCTTTGCAACGCTATGAACAACTCCTGGACTGACTGCGCGAACGACTGCGGAGTTTGCAATTTGTCTGAAAGAAAGATTAGTTGAAAAGGAGCCGACTTCAACTATATCAGTCATATGTACCGATAAGTAAGAAGTCGGTGTATTAAGATACTGTCGTCGTCGTGAACGCGGGCGTCCATTAATTATGTGAGGTGTTTTTTTTTTATTTTCTCTCCCGGATCCCCCCCTGGTGAGATTTCGTGAGATTTTATACAACACCCTCCCCCATCACCCAATTTCACGAGAGATTTTTCAAAATTTGGATTGTTAAAGCAAAACGAAAAAAAAAACGTAAGATTAGCTGAGATCTGAGTCTACCCCCCCTTAAACATCTCACGTACTTTATGGACGCCCCCTTAATGAATGGAAATAAGCTGTAATTCGCGTCAAAACCGTATGTGGCCACTTGTGAGGACACTCTGGATACTACATTTAATTGTGCCCACACATATCTTTACCATGGATGCGATAAGAGTCAATTAGAAGACCATATAACATTACTACATCTGTATAAACTTGAGTATGATAAAATGGACAACCGACGGTGATAAATATATGTCAAATCCTCAGCAGTGGACATCCATGACCAGTTAATGAAAGATGATCTAAGATAATGTGATAAGGTCTAAATTTGTGCAAACGTACCAATAATGCTTTGCATGTGACTCTTGTGGGCGGTGTCTCCGTAGAGCAGGGCACTCCATTGGTCAGGAGCTATCCTAAGCCCCGCCTCCGTTGCTATTTGGACTATCTGCGCGTCATGTTCGCGCCGTAACGACTCGTATGTACGAAATTCTTCCTTTAGTTGCATTAGAGATGAATCGCATTCGCGTTTAGATACCTGGGAAATAAAAAAAAATACGTTTGACATTTAACCTCTATAGCCCTACCTGTTGGTTTTGGCTAAACGCGCTCACAACTAATATACGTTTCTTTGCTAGGCGTGATGTTTTATATAGTCTATCTATAGCCTTCCTCGATGAAAGGACTATCCAACACAAAAATAGCCGTAAAAATAGTTGGACAGTCTATAGGACAAAACATGGCTCTACGTTCAATAGGCGTCAAGCTGAGCGGGTAAATCCACGCAGAAGTAGCCAGTATACATACAGATAATAAAATTTTAGGAAAATCAAATATGTACATTAAATATTTTTTAAATAATGATTGGGGCGTGATCTACAATCTATATCGAAGCCGAAAATATACTTTTTATCATTTTTGACTGTATGTCTGTATGTATGACCGTGTTAAACTCAAAAAGTGCTGCATGGATTTTACTTCAAATGCATGAATATTACTAAAAAGTCGGGTCAACACATAGGCTACATATTATCACGATATTATCTACAGGGGAGAAGTTGTGAAGAACTAGTCAAAGTCACTATTCCACGCGGACAAAGTCGCGGGTAGAGGTAGTACGAAATATATCAGCAAAGCTAACAGAAACTTACTAAGATTTGTAGTATTTTATTTAAGAGAAAATAAACATGAATAACTTACATTAAATACCATCAGAGTGCCAATCACGAATAACTATCGCATTCGTAACGTAATAGTATCGAGCGCGTTCGGCGCTCTGATTGGCCGGCTCAAGTGAACCAACCAATCAGAACGCTTAATTCGCTCGATCCTGTTACGATTCGAATGCGATAGTTATTCGTGCTTGGCCTTCAGGACTTACCTTAAAGCAAGAAGCTCTGTAAAGGAGCTGGACGACATGGCCTATGCTAGTTTTTGAAGCCTGCGGAAAATGAGGCTCCAGTCTTTGGACAACAAACATCACTAACACCTGTAACACAAACACGCGTTTAATTGTTATAAATGTTTAAATGTTTCTGTTGGACTGCCCCGTTGGCCGAGTGGTCGCAAGTGCGACTGCCGGGCAAGGGGTCTCGGGTTACATTCCTGGGTCGGGCAAAGTACTACTGGGTTTTAAAAAAAATCTCAGTAGTAGCACGGAGTCTGGAATTGTGCCCGGTATATGGCAATAGGCTCCCCCTATTACATGCGAGTCATAACATAAATAGTGAAAAGTGGGTGTTACATTGTACAGTGGCATAATATGCACCTCTGCCTACCCCTTCGGGGATAAAAGGCGTGATGTTATGTTATGTTATGTTTCTGTTCTAACATAATGCCGGTGTCACTACATTGAATTCTATTCACTCTTTGAACCAGCGCTTTGACACCCAGTTGAATATTTTAAACAGCACATTTCTATGCTCACCGATTTATGGTTGATGCCCATTCACAGGCACGAAGCGTTTCGCATCAAGTTTCCTTATGCATACTGCTAAGGAGTGGAATTCTTTGCCAGAGTCTGTATTTCCTGAAGGGTGTCTTCAAGTCCCGAGTGAATAGGTTGCTTATGGGACGACGTGCTCCATCGTAGACCGCATCATCGCTTACCATCAGGTGAGATAGTGGTCGAACGTCGGCCCATCAAATATATAAAAAAAACCTGCCTTCCAAGCGTCTATGGAAAACCCCTCTCATGTGGAGCCTAAGTCCAGCCCTGGTAATATATGATGATGATGATGGTTCGAGTTAAAGAAACAGATTTTCTACCTTTCTGGATAGTGCAGATCCGTCCTCGAGAGCCAGCAGTACCAGCTTGAGGACTTCCTCCTGCATCGCTGGGCCGAGGAACTGACAGCCACGCGCTCTTACTGCCGCCCACAGGTTCGCGCTCAACTGCTGTGGGTTCTATAACATACCATACGACGGTATTACTATAGCATACTATAGTGGGGGAGCGTCATGCTTCAGCACAACAGTTCGATACGACGGGAGAGATATACAACGACCACGGCCTCACAGAAAATTGACATGGTCCAAATAGGTGATCCATCATACCATAAAAATAAGCACATTCTGTTCAGATGTGCTATATCATCTGGTGACACAGAATAAAATACATTTGTCAGCACCGTCTCGTAGATGCAGTATAAAGCGCTCTTTGATTAACCTGAACCTTTTAAACTACGATCTTCAACCCGAATTTTTTAATACAATTTAACCGCGGTTTTCACGGTTCCGCCCCTTTGCGATGGGGATTTACGAGTGAAAACAAACGCGATATCATTGCAAAGCGGCCGGCCGGCGCTTTAATTAAAAATTGGTTTATAAAACTTTAATGAATACTAACTCCTTTTGGCGCGTATCACTAAGAATCTATTTAGCGATCATTGACTAAGTTTATTCTGGCAGGAGTAATATATACTGACGCTAAACGAATTCGCATTAAGACAGTGACGCAAATGGCTGCCGCCATACCTAATTGAGTTTGTACCAAGTGATATCAAGCTTGCTTTGAGCGTCACAAGACTTGCGTAGCAAACGCTTTGCATATTAAATATGATGTAGTGCTGTAAAAGTTTTAGTATGTTTGTTTATTCATAAGTTGTTCTGTGTAAGTTTATGAATGTAATGTAAAGCTACAGAAATTCTTCTTGTGCGATAACACCCATTGTGCGCTGTTATTTTTGTATGTTTATAATATAACGTCTTTTATTATGCAGCTTATTAAACAAAGCACCTACTTTTCGCCAGTGAAGTCCCATAAACGCAGCAAGTGTATTAAAGCACAATCTAATATACAGTTCTAAACTGTATGATTACTGAAAATATCTGCAATCGAAGAACATAAAGGTAAAACCTCGTAACTTACGAGCCAGTTGAGGATTTTAGAAAAGGTGTTACCTGATGTTGAAGTATCAGTTCGGTGACGGTTCTTTCACCAAGGGATCGCGCTGCTCGCGCCGCCCTGCCTCTCCCTTCCTCGTCGATGACGGCACACTGAAGTAGCATGACCAGCTTCCTCTGCATGGGCCGAGAAAGCCGGCTACTAGCCATACTGTTGTTAGCTGGAAAATAAAACACAAACGTGAACAGTGAGTTAGGTTAACGGAGTCTTAATTGAAACACGACTTTGAAATTTGACCATTACTGATATTGAACCAGAACCTAGAATAGCTGACATAATTCTTGGTTGGAAATTCTTGGTAAAATGTCAGAACATAGGCATTACATGGGATCATAGATATAATACTCATATAAACTATTACGCTCATAGATAGATACTAAATTTTATTTCAAAGTCCGTGTGGTACATTTATTTAAAACTTTACACACGTATTTTTTCTTTTCTCACAAAATTTAAAACTTTCGAGGATATATTAATTTAAAATATCGTGAGACGTCACAGCGTGCCACATTTTGTAGCACGTTATGACGTAACAACCTCCCACTCCTAAACTTAGCGCCATTTTATCTAAGTATAGCAACTTGATACGAGAAAATAAAAATAAATGCGTGTTTAATATTTTTTTCAATATCTAACTGACGGACTAATTAGATTTTAAATTTGTTACCCTGGAAACTACCCAATTGTATAATGAGTGAACATACCTAACTTTTTAATATGTAGTATGGGACCAAGAGTGAGACGTTAATTAAAATTTGATAAATCAATGTGAAACGAAATGCTTAACAAGGATATAATCAGCTCAAAACCTGTAGTTTCCATCAAAAATTAAGTACTGTACTTGGTGTATTTTGAAAAGTTAGTCTCCGTCTGCAAACTTCAGAGGGAGCGCTGTAAATAGGAACTACGTTAAAAAAACAGGATCACAAGTAGACAACAAAGTTTCTTGCCTAAGTTTCCGGATCACGACGCTTCTTAAACGTCGATGTAAATATTTTACAAGTTCTATAACAAGTAAAAATGTAGCGAAGAATGTAAACATAGGTACAAGTAAGTATTAAAAAATCGTACGATTTGAATAATATTAACCTATCAGTGGCTCAAGTAAGGACAGAATTGTAAAGGTTGGAGAAGGCCTTTGCCGATTGGCAAACAGATCTGCAAATGATCACCAAACAACAAATAATAGATTAATTTTTTAACTTTAAGTTGCTTTTAAATGTTAGTGTAATGTAATGTAAGTTAAGGATCTGAATAAAAGGCTATATTATTATTATTATTATAACCTATCAGTGGGCTGACTCTTCAATCCAATACCGATAGATCGACATTGATATTGTGATGTTTCGTACTTCTGAGGAACAATACTAGCGCCACATTATTATTTGGTATTTGGTGGATATTTAATGAACTAAATGTTATTGAGTCTGAGTTTATTCCATACTCTGGACGCATCGACGTCATAGCCTATTACACTGTAGGAGCTAGAGGCAATCCCCAAACTGCGCATGCGTGACATCTACTTCAGTACCGGCCACGTTGTTGAATTGTTACAAATCAAGTTTTGTACGAACATACATTTTTGGATTTTTTTTTCTACCTACCTATACCTACTTATATTTAGTGTCAGCCTTTCTCCAAATAGCCTTGCTGAAATATAAAGAACCATTTACTAATTACACTAATGCTAATGTTCTCTCAGATCTATAGTTATAATCGAATGATAAAAAGTTCTCAAATACTCTAGGCACTTCTACTTCGTTGACAGGCGAATAACAACTTTTACGCCTGCAGCTTTATTCCTTTATGTAAACTCCTGATTTGTCACTTTTATATGGTGGTAATTCTTTAAAACCGTTGGGTCGGAATCCTTTATCGAAAGCACTGAATCATAGTATATAGATGTTTATTTTAAATCTCTCGATACTCGGTCTTTACAAATAGTCATGATCATGGTCATAAATACACATAAATAAACTTTTTCCTAGAGATAATTTTCCATATTCAATGGGTAGCAATTTAACGACCAAGTTACACAAATGTTTTTCAATGCAGTTTTCAAATACAACATTGAAATAGGTTATTTTTTATTCTACATTCAATTTATTGATACAGCGACAAACGCATAGCTCCTCACTATTGTGAAGTTAACTTTCCTATCTTACCGATACGAACGCAATCATAATATCAATGCGATCTCAATTCCAAGCTCGCTAAAAGTACGCAAAGTACGCTAAAAGTACGCAGACGCACTAATTATCATATTGTCATTGGATTGATTTGAAATTGACATCGAAATTAGTTTCAATAGTAGTGCCCACTGGTCTAAACTGGATGAAATCGAACATGACATATTCGCCTGTACAATCATATCTAAATGATAACTCTGACTCATTCATTGAGTCAACACCGCCCATCCCTATCCCGAGGAATTACAAATATAAAATTTGGCGCATATCTAAAACATAGTATTATTTAATATAAAATGATAAAAAAGATATGAGAATTTAATGACCCGTATGAGTAAAACAAATTATAATTAGTGTTGAAACTGTATGCGTAATTATCATTAACTGGGGATTTACATCCATACATACACTTACAACTTATACTTAAACTTCAAAATCTCCAGGTTGAAGACACTGCGGCAGAAAGTCTTGGCCAAACGATGTTACCGTCTAACTGAATCCGATTATGGTATTGATCTTGAAACCTTGCTTTACCCAAGCATTTGAGCTACCTAAATCTGTAGACAGTTCTCGCAACGAACTACGAAGTACATACTACATATAAGAATATTATGAACCTAGTCTAGTACGTCTCAAACATGATTACGTCTCGCGCACAATTTTATTACTTTTCCTGCAAAAATTCAAGGAACTCCGATACGAGATTTCATCATCCCACCCGTAACTCAGGCTACATCTAAAAATATACATTTATATACAAGAGGAAAAAAGGAAATTAGCTAGAGACGTACTTCATAACACTAACTTGATTACTCATAATAGCCTTTTATCTCGGGGAATACCTACCTACATAATGCGTTCATAGAAAAATCCTGAGTGCTAGCTAAATGCGAGTGAAACTTAATTAATTCCCCTCCTGTATAAAGCGAGTGTTACAATATCATATCATATTTGCTCACCTGGTATAAGTTAAAGTAGGTAGATTTGCTTACAAGTACTGCAGGTTTAATTGGTGGTAATTACCATGCCCCGCGCTGTAACTGAGAATTTCCCGGACAAAACCCAGTAATATTTTGACAATCACGGGGATTCTGACATACTCTTATCTGTATAGAACAGCGAGTGTAGTTTTGTTTTTTCTTCACGTCATTTACGTGCCTACGTAATTAGTAATAACTATTATAATAACTATCGTATCGTAAAACATACTAAATTAACTAAAAATCGCGGGTTACATCGCCTCGACATCGCCGCGACCCCGCACGCTGCTCATGAGGAAGAACCCTTCTGTGGTTCGAAATTAGTAGAGATTTTCTCAGTATAGTCACGTAAGTAACTCGCGATTTTTAGTTAATTTAGTAAGGATTTACTGAACTGTTCAGATGCGTCAGACATTCAATATGCTCATACAGATTTAGTATAAACAAGATACTCTACACATCTTTCTACAAGAGACACCATGGATTTATTTTATATTTTTAGGAGTTGGATCATTAAAATATTATGGTTGTTGGCAATACAGTTTCATTTTTCATTAACGGATACTATCTGACGGATAAATTAATTTATGTTGAGGGAATCAGCCTAATATCTATCTAATCTTTAACTGGATTATGCCCACTGCTGAACTAGGTTTCGTCACAACTCTAACGATGTCATCGATCCTCCTAATGGGAAACCTGCCCGCGTACCTCCAGAGTCATCACTTATTACCTCTCCAGAAACTTCTATAAACTAGGGTTTAACTCGTCGAGTACCGGTTTTATAGACACAATTAAAGAACAATAGGTCGCGGTCACCGGTGACCGCTTGGTGTTTGACAGTTTAATACTCACCATTGCCGCAATACTTGAGGTAAACAGCAAGATGTTCCATACATTTGACAATGCAGTCGTAGGCCTGTTTGTCATGATCGGGGAGCGCCTGTATGGAAGGTGGGTGGTACGGCTGCGCCGGGGGTGTGTACCCGGCGAGCTGAAGTATAGCCGTGTTCACCACCAAATCTTCCGGGTCGACCTGGATCACAGCCTGCGGGAGAAACACTAGACTATTACAAATAGAACATGGAAACGTAATAAATGAAACTTGTAATTCTTTAGGAAAGCCCTGGATTTTCGATGCATATTTGGGTGAATTTTAAGCGCTAAAATTGGCATCCGTCGGATACTGAATTATGAAGAAAAAAATAACCAATTTTACTTGAGAACATTTCTCTTTCCTGGTTTCGTCTACATTGTTTTTTTTCTATACGTACTTATTACAACGGCACATGAAACCGACCTCTATAATCCCTTTGAAAAAAGTCTGTTTCAATGGACTATGTAACGAATGCCCCATTGCAGCAGTAATAATAGAATACTGGAATTACCCTATGTGTATTACCCTCCCCAACACGCGCCTGCTTCGGATTTCAAAGTACGTAGTTATTAGGACTTATTAAGGTATACATAATTTGATGTGCACGATCAGATTAATAACACAAAAGGTTATTAAAAAGAGTACTCGGTTGGACAGCATAGGTATTATTGTTCGGTCGCCCTCGTATATGGATTAATTTTCCGTCCGTCTATCATTTGTGAGTACTCCATGTCGCATGAGTACATCACACGCACACATCGACACAGGAGGGGGAAATTATCTGTACAGTGTGAGCGACACGTGACTGCAGATTGGAAAACATTTGTAATCAAACACGAAATGAGAATCTTCGTATAATAAAATCGAATATCCAAAAAAAAAAAATACAGCAAATAGCTCATAAATCGTTATACTTAAAACATCCGATATTAATACATCGTGCACGCAGCCTATACATTCTGTAGGAATACAAATTAAAGATACTGAAATTGTCTTCAATCTGCAGGACAATAAAGCCTAAACTACTAAGATCTATGAACATATCAAGGCAGTTTGCCAAACGTGCAATTTTTGTTGTAACGAACCGACTATGACATTAAGGACAGCACTCCAGACTAAGTCATAAGACAAAGCACGGCTCCGGTATTGCGATATCTGCTTTGGAAACAATACAAAAAGGTTAGGCGCGTTTACAGCTTTTTTATATTGACGTTATGAATTATGTCATATGACATAGGATGTAAAGTTCTAATTTAAATGAAAAGTTAATTGCTGGGTTGGAGCCGTACCTGTTAAGAGTGCTATGTAGTATGTAGGTCTTAAGGTAGCAACATTAAGAGCTAGAGGTACATACTTAGAAGTATGTACCCATTAGTTTATTGTATTGCCGAAAACATAACATCACGCCTTTTATCTCCGAAGGGGTACCAGAGGTGCACATTACGCCACGTAATGCCTCTATCATGTAACACCCACATTTCACTATTTTATTGTATGAGTCCCATGTAATATGGGGTGATCCTATTGCCGAAACCGGAACCTAAACCTATAACCTAAGTGTCAAAGCTGCTCAAAGAATAGTAACGTCCTACATATATCGATCCATGTACACTTGTGTGTTATTCCAGCTTACAATTTATGTTCCATTTTTTTTTGAAAATAATAATGAATAATAAATAATTTCATCCCAATCTCAAATCTCTCTTTCAAATCAAAACTCTCTCTCTCAAATCAAAACTCCAGCCGTTTTCACGTGATTGGGTAACAAACATACAGACAAACTTTCGTATTTATTAAGTAATATTAATTACTTCTAACCATTGGCCACTTGTATCCTTTTTTGGGATGAATATTATGACCATTCATACATGTCTCAATAGTCTAAGAAAATATGCGAAAACCATTGTTAATAGCCATAATATTTGAGGGTTGCCCTCCATTTTTTCTAGGATTCCATTATCAGATCTTGACTTGTTGCCAATGGGAATGAGACCTCCTAACTTCCTATCTTACTTAATACAGAAACTTTAAATAAAAATCGAAATAAATAGGAGACTTTACTTAATGAGCATACATTACAGAGCGAAAACAAGATATTCGCGACGAGTTCATTAAATTAACGTGTATTGGTCTCGGCTATTGATTCGCCGCCATCTGTCCGGACCCCATTAAATCTCCCCTTCGTAAAACATGGGATGCTTTTCGGTTTGGCTATGATTAGGTTGCAAGGCAGTTTCCCTTAGTGACCACTCATACATACGTAGCTGCTTTTAATAAATCCCGATTTGCCCTTCAAAATAATAAGCCCTTCGTTAAAATAGCATGAGGGTCGACTAAATGAAAGCTTTTGATGTTCCGTGCAAAGGTGGGAACAAACTTGATTTATTTATGTTTGGCAAAAAATGTATTTAAGTAAAGATTTTTTGAAATACATATTATATTGAATGCATAAAAAGGAATCATCCATCCAATATAGCTTTCAACACTTACAACTGTTAGATATTTAAGAAACGTGTTCATTATTGTTGGAAGAAAATCATTAACTAATCGGAAATCAATAAAATTTTGAGAGAAGCTTGGTACGTGAGATGCCTTGAAAATATTCCTTTTGAAATCTTTAACAGCCGAAATTAATAAGTGATACTAATACAGAATCTCCGGACCAATCTGGGATTTGGACACAAATTCCATACAACGAATAATTCGTAGTGTATTTACAAATTGTAGTTTTGAAATATACTAGTAATTTAATACATGAATCAGAAGAAAGTACTTGTAATACTAGAGGTGTTTCAAATTTGTACAGATTAATAATAGTAGATCAAATGACAGGACGCCGCAGCCGACGGCAAACTCGGCTCTGTTAACCCCCGTACTGCACTCAAAGCCCTTGAACGGCTGGATGGATTTAATAAATTAGGTACTTTTACTAACCGGTTTGAACAGAGGGTTGATAGAACTTATTTCAATGAGCATGGCGTCTCTCGTGATGTGAATCAATTATTGGCAAAAATCGAAAGACAGGGCAGGCATTACATGTTTTGTGGGGTTTACATTACAAGTAGAAGAATTACAGCTAGATGACCGACAGCATTGTTAAAAAATTACAGCAATTCTATTAAGTATCAAAATATGTGAAATAAAAATGAAGACAACTTGGATTAGGATCATGAAAGTCAACTAACTGCTAGGAGTAAATTAAGATTTAAGAAAATAACTATAGAAAACCTGCGTAGCCGTAAATAGGCAGTTGAGTTTCGCGATGTTCCGCATAATTACCAGAATATCCAGATATGCACAGTTTGCTTATTGTAACATAATTAACGAAGATGAAATACACTTTTATACACACAACGCGGAAGACGTATTTCTTGGATCGACACCACAAGAAGAAGCGCGAGCCGAAACGACACCATCCGGTCTAGCCGGAGACTGCCAAAACAAGAATATCAAAAAAGAATGGTCATCGACTTCAATAGCACAATAACGAAAAACAAACCATTCTACTTTCGTTTTAAGGTCTTTAATTATAAATGTTTGGAAACGCAGTTTGAGGACAATAGAGGTGTATTCAAAATTTCCTATTACGTCATCGTTGATGAAGTCAATGAACATAAATACGTCCCGTATAAATGCATAAAAGGTATTTAATATCGGTGAAACACAAATCTAGCTTTTGGGCTATAACATCACGCCTTCCGTCCCCGAAGAGGTGCACATTACGGCGTTTATAACTATAAAGAACCCTTGTTTGAAGGGGAAAATCATCCAATGACTTCTCTCGCCTTGGGTGAGACGAGATGAGTGTCAGTCTCTTACTGACATACCTGTCTTAAAACAGCATTCTCTACTCCATACTTAGTGAATTAATAAGGTCGAAACGGAGCCGAAATTATCGGTAATGAAAGGAGATGCCCAACGCGCTGTTTGGTTACGTCATCATTTTTAGACAACCTTCCTCCCAGGAAAATGCAATTCAACAATTTCCTAGATGGTCAGCAACAAAATTTTTGTAATTTGCCTCTAGTGTTCCAAGTGTAACATAGGTTACATTAACTGCCCAACATTAGGCGTGCCTTGTTGTTACCATAAGTTGTAGAAAAAGAAGTATAAGTGGCTTTTTGCCAGAATGGAGGTAAGTTGATGAATTTGTGTCTTCATTGTACAAGTGCAAAGTGCTCCGCCATTTCGTTAATGTACGTACAAAAGTATTGGGCCTCCAATAATTTACTACACGGCGAAACGCAATGCAAGTGTTTTTATTATGTTATAACTTTCATGAGACATACTAAATTAATTATGTTTTTCGGCTTACTCATGTAATTATTTGACGAGGAACTCGATTAGTTTCAAGCCATGCTAGAGGCTCATATTTATGAGCAGCATTCCGCGATCCGCGACACGGCGACTGTCGCGCTGCTACGGGTCGAGTTCTTCGTCAAATGGTTAAGTGAGTAAGCCGAAAAATATAAAAAGTGTTGCTTCAAGCCACTCTTCTATGACCGGGCGGAACGGTATGCTTTTAGGTTCTACAGCCAGTCATACATTTTGTATATTATAACGTTTTAAAATTAAAAGATCTAGCTCGACTACCGCTGTAACCATGAATAATCTTGGATGGATTGTACTTTAAGAATTACACTAGGCGCAGCATATACTACGTGGACAACCATGTACGTGGAAAAACAGCCCTAAAGATGGATAGTAGATGACTTTAACTTTTCAGTGACTGCAGTCTCCTCCCAAGTGCGAGTATTAGAGAACCACCCTACAGTTCAGCAATGAACGTTTACTAACCAATGATAAGCCACGGTATTGGCTTTTAAGTTTTGTGTTTGCTTAACCGGACTATACGTAAGTACAAGATCGACAATGTATTGCGGTTTAGCGATTCATAACTGAATGATCTTAAGAGATCCTATTACGTTCAATAGTTCAACAATAAGGCGATCTCAGTGGATGCGACATGCGATGTATAGAAACATAATGTAATGCACGTATTATACATATAAAGTTTCTCTTTATAAGTGGAAGATTTCGCAAGGGCTGCCTGTGAATATTTCGCAAGTAAAAAGAGATTGAGCATGAAATTATTTTCTTCTGCGCTATTAGGAATATGTTTAACACAAAAAATGTATTCGCTCAATATCTTACATTAATTATGCAAATGC